ACAAACGCTTCGTCTTAGCCAATCAGGAAGTTGCTGATTACCAGTCTACACTCGTTCGCATTTAGCGCATGCGCACAAGTACCATCGGGCGGAATTAGTACCCTCGCACGGTGCTCCGCACCGGCTCGGAGAAAAGAACGAAAAAAATTTTTTGGTATAAGACCACCTTAAAATACAAACTCTACCCATTTACCTGTTCAAAAACACTCAAAAAATGTTTCAAAATCGTAGATACTTTACCATCCATTTCAATCAAAGTTTTTATATCCGAACGCATATTTTACGTTATCTTTTAATCAATTTTACGAGTCAATTTTTCGTATATTTTCAAGACCATCCAAATGAAAAATATTACTTAAAAAAAGTTTAAATATGAGTTAATATACTGATGCGAACCAATTTTTTTTGCCAACCGTACTTGCTAGTTACAAGTATTAATTTGTATTAAACTCACGTATGCGCATAAAATAAAAAACGCCCAACGTACCACAACTAATTAATTTAGAGCTTGATATGTATTCTCTGGGTCTCTCGCCTCATTTAATTCAGCATAATTCGAGTAACCATCGTTTATGGTGCCTCTTGGTGACTGGGAACGGTTTTGCGCCATATTTTCAAGATCAACTTCTTCGTAAATTTGATCTGGATTTGTATCTTGAACATCGGTACTCGATTCATCTTTTTTGTTTCCTAACCATCGTCGACGATAATACACCACAGCATATGCAACACAAAGTACAACAATGAATACAGCCACGACGATGATGAAAGAAATGTACCATTCAATTTCGTCCTTCGAATCATTGGAGGGAAATCTTTCTGAAAAGTAAAGTTGCATTAGTTATTTTTAAAAAAATATTAATATTATAAGAAACAACGTTATGGTAGAGCTTAATGAATTGTGCAATAGACTTGCATTAATTCTACACTTAAGAAAGAGAAAAAAATTTCCGCGTTTCTATACAGTTATAGAAACACGCGTGGAAGTTTGGGAGAACGAGAAATAGTCAGTTGGAAAACAAGCTTATAGGCCGAGTTTTTTCACATTATTTCGAGGGAAAAAAACATAAATTATCTAACAGTTATTCATCAGAGGAAGGTTGTATCTACGAAAGCTGCACGAATGGCGCTAACCACACGACTGTGATATTTTCCTAAAAAGCGGAAAGTGAATCGTCACGTTGAAATTTATACCAAACGTTTATATTTTGAGGTATAAGTTTAAGCCAGGGTTCACCAAACAGCGGGCAATTTCAGGTAAAAAAACCCACTATCCAGTGGACAGAACTCTTGCAAACGGCACCAGGGGTATACCGAGACAAACTATGCGGGAAGAAAGCACGTAAACGAGCCATGTTTTCTATGTATCGCAACCAATAATTGCCAACTTATAGGTTGTCGTGGAAATGCGAAACATGATTTGACCGCCATTATCTGAAGGTCGTCGGGCGATATTTTAAGTTCTCCACTAGTTTCGAAAACCAGTAGTAAAACCTTGTGACTAGCAAGCTTAAATCTTTTTGTGATAAAATTATGCTTATACATGTCAAATTTTTTATCATAACTCGCATTTCAAGGTTGCTAAAATGATATATTATGGCGAATCGACCGCCGAAAATAATACGGCAGATTAAAATTGAAAAGGAATTGAAAGAAGATTTAAACGATGATTTCGGAGAGGAGAAATATAATTATAATAGAAAGAAAAAAAATTAAAAATCTTTCAAGCAAGGGCATGCAACACAAAATAAATGGTCTAAGTTGCTGCGATTACTCTTTCATTGTTAAAGAGTTTGAAATTGTGAATAGCAAAACTAATGAATTAAATTAAACTTGCTCAGTGTTAAAAATGACTTCAATTGAATTTCTGTCTGCCAGAGAGTCGCATTTCCCTACACATACGTATGTTCCATCATTTGTTCCATTAATATTCTTGAGAGTCAAAATATTTTCTTTCTTTTTCCTGTCACCAATCTGTATGTCATTTTTATACCACGTCACATCGGCTGGCGGGTATCCGTTTTTTTCCCTCACAAAGGCATGTTACACTATCACCAATATTAACAATGATCGGACTTGAACAATTGATTGTTACATTTGGTTTTTCTGAAATATAAGTATGTATCATGCGAAATTGCAAGATGCAGAAAGAGAAAAATAGGAAATACAAGTCACAGTGGGGGCAGATTCCGGCGCCCCACCCTGTAACTTTTTGCGAACGTAAAATAGATGTGAAAAAAATGTAAGGTAATTCAAGAGGAATTTTGTAGCGCAATTTCTACCTGGAAAAACCCTAGTTACCAGGTTAGCTGACCAATCAGTAGCAAGAATTGATACTCTCCCTTGTTTTTTATTAAAATTATTTTATGAATTTTTTTACTCGTAATTTCTACTTTATATATATTTACCGTAAAAATCAACCTCAATTGATTTTTTATCCGTGAGAGTGTGGCTTTTCCCGATACATTTGTATGTTCCACTATCTGTTTCATTGACATTACTGAGAGTCAACACGTTTTGCCCTTGTTCTGTGTCACCAAACTGGATGCCATCTTTATACCATGTCACATTAGCCGGAAGTTTTCCACCTTTTCCCTCGCACAAGCATGTTATATCATCACCAAGATTTACTGCGATGAGACTGGAACAATTGACTGTTACATTTGGTCTATCTGAAATGTTATAGGCAAAAATATTGTTTTTAATTAAATAGAAATATTTAAGAATTATTATTCGGCGAAGGTAAATATCGCTGAATAAAAACCGAGACAAAGTCAGTAAACAACAAATGATTTTGTTAAAATTAAAAAAACAGACGGAAATACATTTCAGGGGCGGATTCAGACCGTTGCAACCGTAGCATATGCTACGGTCAGATTTTACCGACATATTTTTTTCCAGGGTGTACCTTTGGAAAACGAAATAATTGCTAATAATTTCATATTTGAAATTTACAAAATTACCTGGTAATCCGGTATATTGAAATAGTTTTTATTTCATTTTGGATGATTAAATTCGGGTTTTTATCAAATTTCTGCCCGAAATTAGCATTATATTGCCCGTATTTGCGGGTTTTACGGCAATTGCTATATCACATCGTTCTGAAGTCGAAGCAAGTCATTGCAAACTGTAGCATTTGCCTCATTCTGATTGGCTTGCCCCATCTAACTGTAGCAAACCAATGATAGCGCTGTATTTACAAATTTTTGCAGTGGTCATATTGAAACTGACCGCTGCAAAAATTCGCAAATACAGCATTCTGATTGGTTTGCTACGCTCAGACGGAGCAAGCCAATCAAAATGAAGCAAACTGCTACTGTTTGCAATAGTCGCTTCGACTTCAGAACGATGAAGTTGACTTGTTGTCGTATAATCGTATTCGCCGTTCCTCGTTGACTTGACTTGTAATCAATAGAGTGAATAGACGCGGTAGTTACTAAGTAGACATGGCTTCTACAGACCCACTCGACGAGCTTCTTTGTATACTGAACGAACGTATTTCGTTTGACGAAAAGGCGAATAAAATAGCCTCTGTTAAATCCCTGTGTGAGAAAGTGGTCGTGGAGGAATCGCTAAGGAACGTCTCGGATGATCGAAAGGTTTTGATGATCGTAACGAAATGTTACGCCGTCTACCAAGCAAACGCTGCCACCGTTATGTAGTACTGTGCCTGTGGCAACTTCCTCTGCCTTTGTACCCGCAAGAAACTCTTCTTCATCGCAACCAGTTAAAAAGAAGCAGACCATTCTTGACAAGCTATTCCCTAAAAAAAGAAAGTTTGCCGAGGAAAGTGACGACGAAGATATTCCAAAGCCGAATCTTTTGTCTAAAAAACGTGTACCTAGTTCATTGGTTTCAGAACACGTACCTGAATGTTCAAGATCCGAAACATCGTGTTCCCCAAATGATATAGCTAACTTTGTCAACAGCAACTCCTTAACTGATACGCAGAAGTACGAGGTTCTTTGCAACGTTTGGGTACCATCTACAAACTTTCCATTTCCTTTGGTAAACGGCAGGAAGTTTCGCTTGGATTGGATCAAGTTGTTTCCGTGGCTGACGTACTCGCAAAAGTTGAATGGAGCTTTCTGCATAAACTGCGTGCTGTTTGGTTCAGAATGTACTGGGATGCACAATACGAGTAAGTTGCAAAGGCTTTTTAAAACCCCATTCACCACATGGCAGGTCGCACCCGCTAAATTCAGGGAGCATTCCGAGAAGTCACCACTTCACAAAGCAGCCACAGCGCGTGCAGCAGTACTAAGATCTCATATGGAGCAAAGGTCTGCACCCATTGATGTTATGTTGGATGATATGAAAAGGCAGCAGATAGAGGAAAACAGAAAACTTCTGAGACCCATTATCGGAGCAATCGTTCTTTGTGGCAGGCAAAATATTCCCTTGCGTGGACATAGAGATGATTCTTCGAACTATCTGTCAGATGAGGTTAACTGTGGTAATTTCATTGAAATCCTAAAGTACGGTGCAATGTGTGCTGGTAAGACTCTTGAGGAACTTTTCAAAAGCACTCCTAAGAACATGACCTACAAATCAAAAACCACTCAGAATGAAATAATTGATATATGTGGCGATATGATAACCAAAAAACTTACTGATGAGATCCGCGAAGCAAGGTTTTACTCCATTCTCGCCGACGAAGCATCAGATTGTAGCAACATAGAACAGCTTAGTATCGTTATCCGGTTTGTAGACAAGCAGTGTCAAATAAGAGAAGAGTTTCTTGGCTTTGTCCCGTGCAAAAAGGGTGTGTCTGGTGAAGCTGTTGCGCTACAATTGAAGAATTCCTTCGGGACCAAAATTTGCCGATTGATGATTGTCGTGGTCAGGGTTATGATGGAGCCGGGAACATGGCAGGGCGATTATCTGGAGTAGCAGCTAGAATACAAGAAACCAACAAGAAGGCTCTGTATGTTCACTGTAACTCTCACCGTTTAAACCTTTGTGTCGCCACTTGCTGCAAAGAACAACTGGTAAGGAATATGATGGAACATGTTCGTGTTGTCTCGGAGTTCTTTAATTTTTCTCCGAAGCGTTTTGATTTGTTGGTCAAGACCATCCACGAAATGCTTCCTACAGCGAATCATAAACGGCTGATAAATGTTTGCAAAACAAGATGGGTGGCCAGAATCGATGGTTTATGTGTTTTTATCGAGGTTTTCCCTGCAATTATTAGATGCTTGGAAATCATTCGTGACAATGTCGGCGACAATTGGAATCCAGATTCTGTCCGAAAAGCTGTTTCTTTATATTCAGCAACCGTGTCCTTTCCATTCATTGTCGCGTTAGTTGTGGTTTCAAAATGTCTTCTGGTGACTCAACCGCTCACGGTTCAACTGCAGGAATCCGCTATTGATGCTGGAGCAGCTAGAGAAAAAGTATCCGCTCTTTACGTTCATCTAGAGAAAATGAGAAATGACGTGGACGCAGAACACGACTCGTGGTACAAAGAAGCTGAATCCATGGGAACCAGTGTTGGAACTCAACCAGATCAGCCAAGAACGACAGGGAGGCAACAACACCGCGCTAACACACCAGCTGATACACCGTCACAATATTACCGTAGAGTAATTAGTGTGCCCTTTTTGGATCATCTTAAATCGGAAATCCAAACACGATTCTCGGAGACAAACCTTGACCTTATGGATGCAGTGTATGGTTTGCCAAAAAATGTTCTTATCTACCCTGACTGGAAAACCAAATTTTCTAAGTTCCTCAACATGTATATGGACGACTTGCCTTACCCTCGCTTTCTCGACACTGAATTGGAAATGTGGGCTGAACGTTGCCAAATGGAAAAGGGTCCTCTGCCTTCTAAACTGGCTGATGTTTTACCGTTTGTCGACAAAATAAGTTTTCCCAATATATTCACCGCTTTTCAAATTTTTGCAACAATTCCTGTTACCACTTGCACCTGCGAAAGGTCCATTTCCGTTTTACGCCGATTGAAGACTTATCTTCGCAGCACCATGTCAGAATCCAGATTAAAAGGCCTAGCCTTGTTAAATGTCCATCGCAAAATTCATCTGGATACTGAAGAGATAATTGATCAATTTGCCCAGAAACCCAAGAAGAATGATGCTTAAACTCTTCTGAATCGAATTTTATAACTGCGCATTCCAGAAAAACAACATTTGCCCTAACATTTACTATATCCAGATGATTCACCAGTGGATTTTTGGTTGCCTTTCTCCTTCATTTCAAGATGATTTATCAATGAACATTTACTTAACTATCTCCTTGCTGCTGTCTCCAGATGATTCACCAGTGGATATTTTGGCTGCCTTTCTCCTTCATTTCAAGATGATTTATCAATGAACATTTACTTAACTATCTCCTTGCTGCTGTCTCCAGATGATTCACCAGTGGATATTTTGGTTGCCTTTCTCTTCATTTCAAGATGATTTATCAATGAACATTTACTTAACTATCTCCTTGCTGCTGTCTCCAGATGATTCACCAGTGGATATTTTGGCTGCCTTTCTCCTTCATTTCAAGATGATTTATCAATGAACATTTACTTAACTATCTCCTTGCTGCTGTCTCCAGATGATTCACCAGTGGATATTTTGGTTGCCTTTCTCCTTCATTTCAAGATGATTTATCAATGAACATTTACTTAACTATCTCCTTGCTGCTGTCTCCAGATGATTCACCAGTGGATATTTTGGCTGCCTTTCTCCTTCATTTCAAGATGATTTATCAATGAACATTTACTTAACTATCTCCTTGCTGCTGTCTCCAGATGATTCACCAGTGGATATTTTGGTTGCCTTTCTCCTTCACTTCAAGATGATTTATCAATGAACATTTACTTAACTATCTCCTTGCTGCTGTCTCCAGATGATTCACCAGTGGATATTTTGGTTGCCTTTCTCCTTCATTTCAAGATGATTTATCAATGAACATTTACTTAACTATCTCCATGCTGCTGTTTCCAGATGATTCACCAGTGGATATTTTGGTTGCCTTTCTCCTTCATTTCAAGATGATTTATCAATGAACATTTACTTAACTATCTCCTTGCTGCTGTCTCCAGATGATTCACCAGTGGATATTTTGGCTGCCTTTCTCCTTCATTTCAAGATGATTTATCAATGAACATTTACTTAACTATCTCCTTGCTGCTGTCTCCAGATGATTCACCAGTGGATATTTTGGCTGCCTTTCTCCTTCATTTCAAGATGATTTATCAATGAACATTTACTTAACTATCTCCTTGCTGCTGTCTCCAGATGATTCACCAGTGGATATTTTGGTTGCCTTTCTCCTTCACTTCAAGATGATTTATCAATGAACATTTACTTAACTATCTCCTTGCTGCTGTCTCCAGATGATTCACCAGTGGATATTTTGGTTGCCTTTCTCCTTCATTTCAAGATGATTTATCAATGAACATTTACTTAACTATCTCCATGCTGCTGTTTCCAGATGATTCACCAGTGGATATTTTGGTTGCCTTTCTCCTTCATTTCAAGATGATTTATCAATGAACATTTACTTAACTATCTCCTTGCTGCTGTCTCCAGATGATTCACCAGTGGATATTTTGGTTGCCTTTCTCCTTCATTTCAAGATGATTTATCAATGAACATTTACTTAACTATCTCCTTGCTGCTGTCTCCAGATGATTCACCAGTGGATATTTTGGTTGCCTTTCTCCTTCATTTCAAGATGATTTATCAATGAACATTTACTTAGCTATCTCCTTGCTGCTGTCTCCAGATGATTCACCAGTGGATATTTTGGCTGCCTTTCTCCTTCATTTCAAGATGATTTATCAATGAACATTTACTTAACTATCTCCTTGCTGCTGTTTCAATATGATTTATCAGTGAACATTTACTAAACTGCCTTTGTGCTGCTGTTTCAATATTTTATCGTTGAACATTTACTAAACTACCTTTGTGCTGCTGTTTCAATATTTTATCGTTGAGCATTTACTTAACTATCGTCGTGCTGCTATTTCAAGATGATTTCTCAGTGAACATTTACTTAACTATCTTCAGGCTGCTGTTTCAAGATGATTTTTCAGTGAACATTTACTTAACTACATTCGTGCTGCTGTTTCGATGTGATTTATCATTGAACATTTACGTAACTTGCTTCGGGTTGCGGTTTCAAGATGATTTGAAGTGAACAACGTTCCTATTATACTTCCGCTATTCTACTGATGTACAGATTATGATTGCAAGATGCTCCCTAACTCCGCCATTGCCGGTCCCAAGCCCGGATGAAAAAGGAGGAGGGTTGGTCAATGGGTCCGAAACCTTTTCCCATAAAAGACCTATGGAGCAACTGAAACGCCTAAATGAGTTCAATGTTGTCAGAGATTTTTCTACGTCAAAGCGCTTTATGATTTCTGCAGCAGAATCTGTAATGCTACACTACAGCATGGAACAGCGCGTGATATTGCCATACGTGTCCTGCCGTTGTCTGTGGTTTGGAATTGTGGTCGCGTGTATATATGTAAATGAGGTGATTGTCCTCAGACCTGATGTTCTGCTATTCAGTAGAGAACAAAGTATGTTTCAATATTTTTCTGCTATTGTTTATGATATTTTTTTTTACTTATTGTCTAAAATCTGACTTGGTTAAGGCCATATTTCAGAACAGAGTCTGATGCTCAGAACCCAGGAAATGTCATTTCCGGGCTTCAAATTTAAAAAATTTTCCGCGGGAGCATGCCCCCGGACCCCCCTAGATTGCGTAACATCTTAGAATGCTACTGTCAGATTGAACGGCTGAATCCGCCCCTGACATTTGACACAAACCAAATAGGCATGTAGGAACTAAAAAAGGCCAGGGGACCATTGTATGAGAGCCGAATAGTAGTCTTTTTTCAATGGCTTTAAAAATGCCCGTTGTTGGGGATTAGTGTTCCTAAATTGACGATCCTCTGGTTCCAAAGACGTTTAAATTATATTGCCTTTCAAGCATTTATGAACGGTTGAAAATCACTATCCAGTGGATGATCTATAGTCTTGATATAGGGAGCTTCCACGTATTGGCTACATTTTTCAAAAACCTATCATCCAATTTTGGCAAAATATTAAAAACAGCACTCGAACTATTAAGCCGTACTTGCTATCGCACGATTAGCTATGAATATGATCGAAACATCCTACTTTTACGGGTTGTGGTAATCAAGCAGCGATATTCAAGAGTTTTTTTTATTACATCTTGTTATCTTCACGATGGACACAGGGCTTTTTACATGATCCCGTTTAGCTGAGATTAAACGGGGCGTAAATGTATTGAAATGAAAATATAACATGACCCTGGCATTGGTGTAGACTTGTCGACCATAGCATGAGTGTGTATGTTTAGGTTTTATAATTACTTATTTCAGAACCTCAAAATCATGTAATCGACGCGGATAACATAATTGGTGTCGTCTCCTTTATTGTGAAACGACCATTGCTAATTCTATCAATTTCGTTATATTAACGACGATGAAAATTGCATGCATTAGAAAAATAATTAATGAAGTGGTGCATGTATACTTATTGGTGCCCTTTTTTAAATAATCACCTTTCGGGGAACACTGTACTCCAGCGTCTTGATCATGAGAACACGAACTATAACTGACATCCCAACCATCATGTAAACAACTTTTAATATTTTTTTCTTCTCCCGTACATTGAACCTTGTTTAACCATATTGGTCCAGAACCAGGAATAACCTCGCTCCACCAAAGAGTCCTAACAGCGTTCTGGTAACCAAGCTGACGACATACAACCCTTGCATCTCGCATATCCCAACCATAATGACAGATTGTTCCCCATTGCCCCTTGTAGAATACCTCAACACGACCAGTACCATCTTCACTCTTCGGCCCTTGGAGCCTGATTGACCCATTTATAGCTGTAAAAAGGTGCAAGTAATTATAAACGAATACACAAATAATGTATTTATACGCCTTTAATACCTTATTCTTAATGCGTTGAAAAACGGATTATGGATACAATTGTCCTTATATATATTGTTATCATTAAAGATGGTGTAAAGTCCGTTCTGCGCATATATTCTGCGCATAACAATGTTTGTTTATGTTGGTTATATAATCTTTACATTACGTATGGGTCGTTTTAATTTTCTTATTTTCTACTCGTTCTCGCTCGAGCGGCTGCGATGAAACTCCCTATTTTATATTATATTTTGAAGAAAATATTATATTTTGAAGAAGCGAATTTAAAGCGAAGCTTGTAAATAAACCGGCCGTTATTTAAAAACTTTATATACTGCAGTATTTGTAATTGTAGGACAAGCGAGAGGGTAGCGTCTGTAGCGACGACAAATAGTCTCGCCAACTTGTGTCCTCATTCAACAAATAAATTATTGAAGCATTTCTTTATATCGCATATCATTAACATTCCAGTGGAATGTGTTGCTGTCGCGGAATATATGCACAGAACGGACTTTACCTCATCCATCTTTAATTGATGAACTGATTTAGACCTCGAGTAGTTAAATTTGATAATCATGTAGTTTCGGGTATAATTAAAAGTATCGTTGTTGGAATTTCTAATGTAACAGGTACGAACGTAACCAAATTTGGTATACAGCGCTCAATTATGCTTCACAAACTTCGGTCGAAATATATGGGAAAACAAATGGTATGGCTTGCCAGACCTCAGCTCTTGCTCACGATTAAACGCTCCGGAACCGGAAACAAGAAAAACGGATGTACATCCGGTCACATGACACCCAACTTCCAATAATACCGTAGAGCCCCTCGTGTTTCCTCGGCTTTTTCCTTCGTGCTCTCTCACGTAAACGCACTCAGGTAAGTCTCTCGAAATTTTTTCTTAACTAGCTTTACCTGATTCTTATCGAATTCTTATTAGAAGAAATATGTCTGATTCATCTGCTCGGAAGCGTACTGCTTCTCGCGAGGAACCTAATAGACGACACAAACGAAGACGAAACCGAAGCCGAAGCCCTGGGCGGGAAAATAACTCGACCGTAAACGAGACGCTTACACAAATCCTGCACAATATGACCGACATGAAGAAAGAATTCGTGGCCTGGACCACACGGGTGAGCAACCTAGAGTCTCAGCTAAGTCAAAACTCTACAGTCCAGCCATCCCACATTGACGAGGATTGTTTATCAGTTCATCCGGCAGCGGCTTCACCTTTAGCTTCGGACGAAGTCGATGAAACGTTGTCGCAAGACAACAGCGCCATTGAGGCACCCTTAGCTGGCCCTGAGCCACCTTTAGCCGACATTAGTTCGGACCTAACTCACAACACAGCATCCGAAGACAAGTTCGGTGCTCATAGACATAGTCATGAACAATCTTATGAATTTTTCGATCCAGAAAACACTTCACTGCGAAAATGGTCTCCTTCGAAGCCCTTCCACGCGTTTCTCGAAAAGAACCTTAGACGGCGTCTAACTGTCGACCAGGTAAACGAAATTATCGGGGAGAACTCTCTCCCCGAAACTGACGCCTGTGTGGCACCTTACCTAGACAAGCAAATACTCAATTACGTCCCACACAACCGTCGTAAGTCGGTTGAGAATCGAGACAAGGATTTAAACCTCATTCAGCGTGCCTTGTTAAACTCGGCCGCACCAATCTGTTGCTTACATGACCGTCTAGAACGAAAGGAAACGCTGTCTAACGACGAGTTGTTAACTATTTTACAACAATCTCTATGCCTTTTAGGCTCAGCTAACCATATTACCACGGTTACACGTAGAAAGAAAATCTTGGGTGCTATTAACCCTGACAAAATTCAGTTAGCTGACAATGAATTCCCCAATGCGGGAAAAATGTTATTTGGTGATGATTTACCACCTTTGGCTGCAAAGCACTCCGAACTCTCTCGCAGCCTGTCAAAAAATCTCCAAAAAGCGCAGTTCAATCCGCAGCAAACTAAACCAAATTCAAAACAAGCGCCGCACACAACACACAGATATAACTCCCAGCCTCAGCCCAGACGGCCCTTTCGTGGCTCATATGGGCAAAGATTCTCGAAACCTGAACAAAATTTCAACTCGAATTTTCGAAACCAGCGGGCCCAGCAAAACAGCAGCTGGTCCCGCCAATAATAAATACCGCTGCCAGGCTACCTTGGTTCCTCAATCAATGGCAAAAGATTACCAAGGACCCAGTCATAATAGATATAGTGCGGGGTTATCAAATAAATTTTCACACCCAGCCTGTCCAGACGCACTTTCCAAAGTCATCAGTTTCGGACAAAGAGATCGCATTAATGCAGCCAGAAATAGACAAACTTATAACGATGGGGGCCATAGTCCCCGTCCAGTCCACACCCAGAGGTTTTTACAGTCGTCTATTCCTTGTCCCCAAAAAAGGCGGCGCATTCCGCCCAGTTATCGACTTAAGTCACCTAAACAAGTTCATAGCGAACGAACATTTCCAAATGGAAAATCTAAAGTGCATAAAACACCTTTTACATCCAAACGACTACATGGTCAAGTTGGATCTGAAAGATGCCTACCTCACAGTGAGTGTTCACCCCGAATCACAAAATTTCCTGCGATTTGTTTGGCAAGGACAAGCTTATCAGTTTCGAGCTCTACCGTTCGGACTCAACACCGCACCACGCATATTCACAAAACTTCTAAAACCTGTGGTAGCTTTCCTTCGTACTCGAAATGTCAGACTCCTAATTTACCTAGACGACATACTAATTATAGGCTCATCAATAGAGGTTCTACGGGAACATACAAATTTGGTGATAGATTTGCTAGAGAACCTGGGGTTCGTCATCAATTACAAGAAGTCCATACTGACTCCATCCCTAGTACTCGAATTCCTGGGGTTCTTGATCAATTCACAAACGATGAGTTTCTCCTTAACCCAGGAGAAGATCACCAAAGCTCTAAATTTGTGCAAGTCCCTTATGAAGGAGTGTCCAACTTCGCTACATCTCCTCTCCCAGCTTCAAGGGTTTCTAGAGTCTTGCCGACCAGCAGTTTGGATTGCTCCACTGCACTTCAGACACCTACAAAATTGCCTAATACGGCAGGTAGCGTTGAACAATGGGTCATATCAGGGCACAGTCCACTTGGACTCCCTGGCTCTGGAGGAACTTCAGTGGTGGAGCCCCAATCTACCCTCCAACATCCGAGATGATCATAACCTCGGACGCATCCAAAATGGGATGGGGTGCCACTTGCGGCAATCGGTCAACGAACGGACGTTGGTCACATCAAGAGAGCCTCCTTCATATCAACGTACTGGAGCTCAAAGCGACCTTTTTAGCAGTGCAAACTTTCCTGAAACATCAGTCAGATATATCTGTAAAACTCCGCCTCGACAACACAACAGCGGTTGCTTATATAAACAACCAAGGAGGCACTCGCTCACCCAGTCTCACTTCACTAACACTCGAATTATGGAACTGGTCTCTCCAACACAACATCCTGATCACGGCAGAACATCTTCCGGGTGCTCTGAACGTTCAGGCAGACAAGGAATCACGAACATTTGTCGACTTGAGCGACTGGAGACTACTACCACACATAATACAACCTTTTCTGAAGGACAGAGAGATAGATTTGTTCGCAACAAGATTAACCAACCAGTTGCAACAATACGTAAGTTGGCGCCCAGACCCATATGCGGTGGCAACGGACGCATTCTCAATAGATTGGCGTCCACTAAAAGCCTATGCGTTTCCGCCTTTCCCTCTCATCCCAAGGACTTTAATGAAAGTGATTCAAGACAATGCGAACCTACTCCTAGTAGCACCAGTATGGCAAACTCAACACTGGTGGCCACTCCTAATTCAACTCACGGTCAAACACCCAGTTTTACTCCCAGTGTCACCAACACTCCTGGAAGATCCATCGAACCCGCAGGCAATCCATCCAATGCACCCGAGACTACAACTAGCCGTTTGGACTATTTCCAGCAGTGCTGCACAACAGAAGGATTTTCGGAGACGGTTACCCGTCTTCTATCCTCAGCAACACGACAGTCCACCAACAAAGCATACGACTCGGCATGGGCAAAGTGGTCTAGCTGGTGTCATAGAGGGAAAGTCAATCCAATTTCGGCTACTATCAAAGACATCTTGATTTTTCTTGGTGACCAGTTTGACAAGGATTTCCAATACAGAACGGTAAATGTCCTTCGATCAGCTATATCATCAATTCACCCGTGGATCGACGGTAAACCAGTGGGTCAACACCCCCTCGTCTCTCGGTTAATGAAGGGAATTGCAAATGACAGACCTCCAAAACCCAGATATAATACTACCTGGGATGTGTCGAGAGTTACAACACATCTTTCTTCTTTGGGAGAAAACAAGTCGTTATCACTTAAAATTCTCTCAAAGAAACTACTAATGTTATTTGCTCTGGTCTCACCGGAACGATCATCAGTCCTTTGGGAACTGGACATCAGGTATATGAGAAAACAACCTGATGGGGTCGTATTCACTCTTACAAAGCCTCGAAAAACTGGCGATCCAACGTCCCTCGCTACAGCAACGTTTCCACGTTTCTTACAAGACCCCAAACTCTGCCCATGCGATTGTCTTGAAACCTACCTGAAAGCTACGGAGAGTCTCCGTTCAGGTGAAGAAAGTAACAAGCTTTTCCTTTCCTTTCAACGTCCACATCGCCCTGTGGCCAAAGCCACTATCACGAGATGGTTATGCGATACTCTCTTAGCTGCTGGAATAGACTCCACAATATTTAAAGCTCATTCGACTAGAGCAGCCTCAACAACCGCAGCAGCTAAGCAACACCTACCGTTAGATAACATCCTTAAGATGGGCGACTGGACGTCGCCATCAACCTTTCAACGTTTTTATTACAAACCTACCATTGATGACACTTATGCCAAAACAGTTCTAAGTTGCTAAAATTCTTGTTACATTCATACTGTATTTCAATTAACGTTTATCTTAATAAATTAAGCTACGCGAGAAACATTATATGTCTAGTCGCGTTAAAATCTACCATTTGTTTTCCCATATATTTCGACCGAAGTTTGTGAAGCATAATTCAAATTACACAAGGGCCTTGGGAGGCCTGTTAGTGTAATTATGATTATGCAAGCAAACGGAGGGAGAAATATATGGGCCCACCCTGAACTTTCAGAGTTTGTTTCCCAACCCTTCTTATCTTGACGGTTGGTTGGTAGTACGTTCAAAATAGCCGAGGAAACACGAGGGGCTCTACGGTATTATTGGAAGTTGGGTGTCATGTGACCGGATGTACATCCGTTTTTCTTGTTTCCGGTTCCGGAGCGTTTAATCGTGAGCAAGAGCTGAGGTCTGGCAAGCCATACCATTTGTTTTCCCATATATTTCTCCCTCCGTTTGCTTGCATAATCATAATTACACTAACAGGCCTCCCAAGGCCCTTGTGTAATTTGAATTTTTTTCAATATATATGTTCGTCTTTTGATCATAAATCCAGAGTAAAACTTTTACGACTATACTGTAAAATTCGACTTTAGCGTACACGTAGCCAAATAAATTTCTTGAAAACATTTTCCATTTTTTTGAGAGCATTAGGAGTTTTAAAAGGTTATTCATTAAATGAGTTATAATTTATAATATCACATCATTGAGTGCATTAAGATTCGTAGAAAGGCACACCTGATATCTCTAATGCCTATGATACCTTTCGAGTGGAATGAAATTAGTCGAATGAGATTATTTCTTTGTCAATTAAAGGATGAAAAACACAAAGGATGAGCATTTATAATAACATAATTACAATGTTGACGCATTCAATAGAGTCGGAAATTTCGCGATTATTGTTTTTAGATCATTAACAGTGTCCGATGGATTTATTTGCTATACTATATATCCCATTTTATTATTACCTGTCATAGAACATTCTACTCCAGCGTCGCTAGAATGAGAGCAAGATCGAGCTTTTCCCCAACCCTTATGAAAACAACTTGTAATATTTTGTTCTTCCCCAGTACAACCAACATTGGTTAGCCATATTTTTCCTGAGCCAGGAGGAACCAACTGGTTCCTTTTAAGAGTTTTGACAGCATCAGAATAACCAAGCTGACGACATACAACCCTAGCATCACTTAAGTCCCATTTGTTATCACAAATTGTTCCCCATTGTCCATTGTAGAATATTTCAACGCGACCAGTACCTTCTTTACTTGATGGTCCTTGTAACCTGATTGGCGCGGTTATAGCTGAAAAGGAAGTGTACGCAAACATGTTCTTAGACAATAAAGATAGAGTACTGTAAATTCATATTATACCGCATGAACGGTGTATTTTTATTTAATCTCGCTAATAATGTCTCATTTTCAAATAACATTTTCTTTGCACCACAAGCGTATCTAAATGGCAACCAACTTTGCAACGAAAGTATACACAGACCATATTACTATATTCTGCTAGTTTTTATATTATAAAATTATATAGGTTTTTTGTTGTTGTTTTTTTGTTCGTGAAATGTTCAAAAACCAGGATACAGCATTTGTTAAGAAAACGCATTTATCCCATTTAATAATGAAATTTTCGGTGTTTTAAAAACAAAACAACACTAATAACATCTACAGCCAAACTTTGTGTTTTTTAAGATGTTCAGTAATGCCGATTTCGAAAGCGATCGAGCATCGCCGCATTGGTGTCAATGGAAGGTATAAGAACCATATTCATATTGCGCTAATTTCATTTGTAAACAAATTAATTTTCAATAGAAATCTGCCAGACATAACATATATAAAAAAATGCCCCCCTCCCTCTCAAATAACCGTGTTCGATTGGCGCTAATGGAACTTAAAACGATTTTATTTTTCAGTAGAAAAGTGTATTGAGTTATTATTTAAATTAGCAAGAAAAGTTAAATTTGTTTAGCCCGCTTGTAAGACATGAATTCGCAGAATAACTGGTAAATATATTTAGCACATAAGTTAGAAGAATTATTAAGTTAGAATAACAGCCGCAACGAAATAGCTTTAATGAATTTTTTATATTATTAAAATAGCAACTTTTTCAACCATAGGGAAAATATTTTTCTAACCTTAAACTGACAACAAAATCAAGGTATACTGCATAATGTGTAAGTACCAACCTGTTGTAGAACATTGAACTCCAGCGTCGCTATTATGGGTGCAAGGACTAACTCCCCAAGAACTATGAGAACAGTCTGTTATACTGCGCTCTGCCCCAGTACAAGAAACATATTTTAACCACACTTGCCCAGAACCTTTGGGGACTTCGTTTCTTTCAAGAGTTTTAACAGCATCCAGATAGCCAAGTTGAAGGCATACAACCCTAGCATCGCTCAAATCCCATGAATAATCACAGATTGTACCCCAATATCCATGATAAAACACTTCAACACGACCTGCCCCCTTTTCACTTGATGGTCCACGTAACCTTAGCGACACAGATGTTGTTGAAAAATCTATGAGGACATATTTATAAGAGAAAATTTAAAATCACAATGAAAACACGACAACTTCATCGATTACAATCAATGAAACGACTATTTTGTAACTGCGAAGCCTTGAAAGAATATCAACGTAAATGAGGTTGCATAATGATATATAAGCATAGCTATAAAAATAAAGCATAATATTATAATGTAGCCAAACCCATGGTTTAATGTTACTAAAATATATTCAGACGACATTGTCATAATTTGTAAATGTAATAATTTAACACAATATTGATTTATTCTACCTGTTGTACTACATTCAACCCCTACGTCTGTTGAATGTGAGCAATAAGTAACACCCCAACCTCTATGAAAACAACTTGCTATATTATGCTCCGACCCAGTACATTTGATATTTTGCAACCATATCCGTCCAGAACCAGAGGGAACGTAATTCGATCCCCCCCGGAAGACCCGAGCAACATCTTGATAACCAAGCTGACGACACGCCACCTTGGCATCTCTTAAATCCCATGTATTGTCACAGATTGTTCCCCAAAATCCATCGAAGAGTACCTCGACACGACCAATACCATCGTCACTTAATGGTCCTTGTAACCTGAGTGGTGCAGTTATAGCTGTAAAATAGTGAACATGGACGATTAAATTGAATATGATATGATATGATATGATATGATATGATATGATATGATATGATATGATATGATATGAATGATGATGATATGATAGATATGATATGATATGATATGATATGATATGATATGATATGATATGATATGATATGATATGATATGATATGATATGATATGATATGATATGATATGATATGATATGATATGATATGATATGATATGATATGATATGATATGATATGATATACATTATCCCAAAACACTTAAGAATATTACCCGAATATTTAAGGATTTTTTCTTTTTAAAGAACGGTCGATATAATAAAACTTTACTTTGATCATTGCATAACTTAAATCGTGATGCTCATGAAGCAAGAAATATAGCTAATACGTCGGTCATTATATATACTGCCTTATAAGAGAAGAATGATAGATCTTATATGGGTAATTTCCCAAACTGAAAGAAAATATCAGACAATAATCACCATAATTATCTTAATATTAAGAATCTCAAGCCGCATAATTAATTAAAGCTTTCTATTTTCAAAGTAGCATCATTGTTTTGATCGCACGGCTTTCAACAAGCACGGTAAACTATGACAATAATTAATAAGTTAGAATTCCTCATAAAATCGTTTCCTTTTGTTTCGTTTCGTTTCGTTTTGTAAATAGGCATACTGTAATTCTGAATCACGACTTATCGCTAGTTATTTTTAGTATGTGCTTTTGAGTTTTACAACACTAATCTAACGCGCAAATTGAGGGCATTCAGTGTATAGAACCAGCCTTATTGTATTTCAATATTTTCATTAGAGTAGTTAATAAGGATAGAAATATTGATGTGATTTCTTGTGTTTGTCTTCACACAGAGCTAGACAACGAGTTCTACACGCCTTTTGGTATATACGTACTGCACATAGTTGTAAAAGTGTTAAAATTTTTTGACATCTGTTCTTTTTAAAGTTTGCAGTGCGTGACAATATATAATTGCGTTTAGCTATATCAGAAAGTTGAATTTCATGATAGTTTAGTGATTTAATGAATTCCAAGGATTTACCTGTTGTTGAGCATTTTACTCCGACGTCTGCAGAATGCGAGCAATAAAGATAATCCGATGTATAAAAACAACTTGTTATATTTTGCTCCTCTCCAGAACAAGCGACGTAAGAAAACCATATCTGTCCAGAACCAGAAGGAACTTCGTTTCTTTCGAGAGTTCTAACAGTATCCGGATAACCAAGTTGACGACAAATAACTCTGGTGTCTCTCATATCCCATCCATAATCACAAATTGTTCCCCAATAACCATGAAAGAATACTTCAACACGACCCGTTCCTGTTCCATTTAATGGTCCTTGTAACCTGACTGGCACATGTGCAGCTGTAAAATCTGAAAAATGCTCAATATTTTAAATAAAACGTGCCGTACAAATTCGGAAATAGAGAACATTTTATAGAAGGACGCGTGAGAGTTTGGGGGAACGAGAAACAACCAGTGGGAAAACGAGTCCGTTAAAAGCGTTAGAGACTTTATGTTCGTGTTTTGTTTTCGGCCCACTGTCTCGTGCAATTTTGAAATTTCTCGTTCATTGTATGGTCGGCGCGTGCGTTTTTAGGTGAACAAAACACTCACAACAGTCTCTAACCCGTAATTATCATTCATTTTTTGTAAACGTACGTTCTGATTGGTCGATGTGTACAACGTAAGTGAAGTTTATGCAGCAACAACGCCACGGCAATGCCGTTATGATAATTATTTGTCATACTAACATCAAATAAATGGCCGGACATAATATAGTTTTTCTTGAGCCACGTAGCTATTTCGCCTTCCAACACTATTATATATTATATTATCTTAGTCGAATTACAAAGTGTCAAACCAACATTGTAAATTATTTATGACATTAATGATAGCATATTCAATTATGATACAGTTTAATGATAACCCAAAACTGATTCAAATCTGTGCATTCATTTACTTATTATTAAGAAACAGTGGAGAAGATGGAGTTGTCTTTAAAATAGTCCATTTATCAGTATTTATACCCCAATGGGAATACTACTATTTATTTACCTGTTGAGGAACATTCTACTCCAACGTCGATATCATGGGAGCAATAATGATTCCCCCAACCATTATGAGAACAATCTGTAATCTTCTTCTCTTTCCCGGTACAAGCGAGAGAAGATAACCATATCTGTCCGGAACCAGAAGGAAACTGGGACCTTTCAAGAGTTCTAACAACACCTGCATACCCAAGTTGTCGACATACAACTATAGCATCGTTCTTATCCCATCCTTTCGCACAGATTGCTCCCCAATATCCATGATAAAATACTTCAACACGACCTGCACCATTTGCACTCAGCGGTCCTTGCAACCTGACCGGCACAGGTGTGGTTGAAAAATCTTAGAAATATAAGTTATTAATAAATAGGTAGAATAGTATAGACAATGTACGAACAATATTGACAGATATTTTCCTGTCACAAGTGGTATGAAATCAAAGAATTTCAAACAGGTATTAAAATTTTACGACCTTTATGTTTTGCATGCCACTGGCGTTGGATTCGACACAGAAATATCGTGCGACAATTGTGAGAAGAAGTCTCATGGTATGCGATCTCACGATCTAGCATGCAGGGCCGTGGCTAGATCGCCTAATTTGGTGAAGTGAAGAAAATCGTTCTTCACGAGTGTGAAAAAAATCGTACCTCTACATTGCAAAAATTAACTTACTGAGTGAAGACGAATCTTTCATCATTATACACTACATGTGCATAAATCTCTATACATATATAAAAAATCATAATTTTTTTATGGTATTCATGTTTATGTACCGTAGGAAGAAGAGCGTACAAATGAAGTCAGTCAGACATAAGATAAATATATTGTTTTCTTCTCCAGTGCAGTAAACATTCTTTAACCACGTTTTTCCAGAACCAGGAGGTACCTGGTCACCTTTGAGAGCCCTAGCAGCATCTGTGTAACCGAGTTGACGACACACAACCCTGGCATCTCTCATATCCCATGTATAATCACAGATTGTTCCCCATTGCCCGTGATAGAATACCTCAACGCGACCAGTACCATTTGAACTTGATGGTCCTTGCAACCTTACTATTACAGCTGCTGCAAGTTAATGATAAGAGTTTATCTCACGCAGAAAATCAAGAGAACGGTAGGGTCGCTCTCCACAAGAATATGCCGAGGAAAAATGTCCTTGTCTGACAATACAACGCTTTGAAAGTCAACCTGAGTATTTGTAATTGCATATAGATCGTAATGACACATGTACATTATATATAGTGGCAATTTTCGAACATGTAAAGAAAAAAAAAACATTTTAGCGTGGTGGGAAACTTTAAATTGAAATTTAATGAGAATGTTTGTTGTCTAGATCTTTTTTTCCGGGGGTTTATATAAGGTGGAAATATTTTATGCAGGATTTATGCATGTTTTGTCATGTAATTGATACAATTCAATTACACTGATCAAATTCACACAAAATAAGCGGGAATTGTATTCTATGAAAATACCTTTTTTAGAACATTCCACTCCGACGTCTTGGTAGTGAGAACAATAATTGTTTCCCCAACCACTATGAGAGCAGCTTGTTAAATTTTGTTCTTCCCCAGTACAAGAGACGCGAGATAACCATACTGGTCCAGAACCAGATGGAACAAGATTACTAGGAAGTGTCGTAACATATGTATGATCCATATCATAACCAAGTTGACGACAGACAACCCTAGCATCTTTCATGTCCCATCCAGAGCTGCAGATTGTCCCCCAATATCCATGATAGAATAATTCAACACGACCAGTACCATTTGCACTTGATGGCCCTTGTAATCTTATTCTTACAGCCTCGTCTGCAAAATCTTTTAAAAAATTCTGCGTCAGCATGTGTTAAGCTAACATCAACATAGTGGATTGCAAGATGCCGGATTTACGTGAAACAAGTTGCGAGAAAGTTTGAAAAACATAATTTTCAGTTTTGGGTTTTAGCCCAAGGTTGCTAACTTTATAAATTATGGTGTTCGATAACGATAAGTAAACGATTAATTTCTGAAGTTAAAAATTTTAACTGCTTCAAATTCTCATAGCGGTGAAGAACCGTCAAGCTGTATGGCTACACCCTTTCAACAGCCAAAGATACTGAAGCATAATTTTTGTTTTTAAGGTTGCTCACTACAATTTTTTTTCTTTAATTTTGAAAAATTTAAAAATCTGTCCATGCCATATTGTAAGCCAAGTTGCTCTGAGAGAAAAAAGACTTGTAGGAATCTTCAATCACTACAGTTACTCAGACCAGACACACGCAATGGTGGAAATAGACAAATTTTGTAAACACGATAACTAGGTGGCCTGTATAATTTCCTAATTGGCCTTATCTAGGGACGGAGTTGCCTCGGGAGTGAGCTAGGATAAATAAAACTTGTCCAGTATTGAACGTTTTAAAGGCTTTAAATATAAAACTTCTACGATCTATCTGAAATAAACAGTCCCTATTTTACTTAGACTGAACGGAATAAAAAACTTTTTGTTCAACTACGAGCCAATCGAGTCAATCATGAAAATTTTATGAAGTTGGCTTTATTATTCGTGCACGAAAGTAAGGGGAATGAGAATTTTAGTTTGCTAAGAAAAGCGACGAAAGAAGTTTTTCGTATATTCATAAATTATAGAGTATAATACAAAAGAACAATGAAACAATAGAATAAGCCAATCGACCCCTCTGGTTTGCTTGGGGTAAAAGCCTAATTAATAAAACTTTTTCTTTAATTCTCGCGTTCTTTGTGTATTTTTTGTGTATTTTTTTGAAAAAAAATATTCAGGATCGCTTAGGAATAATTATAAGTTTGCATCCCTTAGATTAAATCATGATTTTTTGTTGTGGACCACCTTAAGATGCAACGATGTTAATTGAATATACTTATTTCCCGCATTAATTATTTTCATTGATATTTTCATACCAGTTGTGGAACATTCCACTCCAGCGTCGTGATAATGATTACAATATTTAACTCCCCAAGGACTGTGGGTACAATTCGTGATGTTTTGTTCTTTCCCATTACAAGCGACGTGAGATAACCATATAAGTCCTGAACCTGAAGGAAAAGTATTTCTTCGTAGTGTTCTGACAGCGTCTTTATAACCAAGTTGACGACATACAACTCTTGCATCTGTCAAATCCCATCCATAATCACATATTGTTCCCCAATGCCCATGATAGAATACTTCAACACGACCAATTCCATTTGTACTCAATGGTCCTTGCAACCGGAGAGCAACAGGCGTAGCTGACAAATCTTAAAACAATATCAATGCGCGATCAACTAACATTAGTGTTATTTGTCTGCATGCAATCACGTTATTTTGTTCCTAGATGATAGCCAATGCTACAGTACTGCGCAGAAATAACCTAACATTGCGTTCGCGTTCCATTTGCGTTCAACTCGCGTTTGGAACGCGTCCAGAACGCGTTCGAAAGCGTTCCGATAGGGAACGGGTTCCGTTGAGAACGCATTCCTTACTTTCGTTGAAAACTTTGTTGTCGCGTCGGAAAATTCCGACAACTGATAGCTGAACTCATATTACAGACTAGAACGCGTGGGTTGAAATTTACTGCAAGAATAACGCCTGTATTCTAAAAGCTCACTCACACTCAAACTCATTGAGTGGGAGATCCTAATCTTCTCATCACGTTTCAATGGCGGTATTTCCAGCCGAAAAGGGGCTTGATTTTCACTGATTTACCTTATATCTTTCCATCTATTGAAAAAAAACTTTCTCATTTGCCAGAATTAACAAAATTCATATGCCACACTCGATGAGTGTGAGTGTGAGTGAGCTTTTTGAATACAGGCGTAAGACTCGCAATTCGTCTATTACAGCATTCATGCTTGCAGATTTGTACCTAATATGATTTCGGCTATTATTATTAACTATAAACATTTACCTGTAGTCTGTCGTACCAACATTGTCAATATCTAATCAATAAGGGGCCGGATTATATGGGCGAGTTGTCCCGGCTGAGGCAGTTGATGTTGAGTTATCCCGCTTTGTATATATATTCTCTATACTTTGAAATTACGATTATATCGCAAACGAGTTGTCCCGTCTAGTAATTGCAATTTAAAAATTTTCTCGCCCAAGCAGTCAACTTATTGCACTCCTCGAAGTTTTGATGCCTTCCTCATCAAGTGATTCTTTTATTTTTTCCTGCGTCGCTCCGTTTGATCGTAGAGAAATTATACGTTTTCTGGCATACTCTGAAAGCTCCCCCATACTTTCGCAGTGTAAACACAAAGGCACGTCACACGTGTTGAGTTTGACAATAATTAACTCTCGGAAAAATGCAATAATATCCGACGATTGCCGATTTTATTACGAGGGGAACTGGAACGCGTTCAGGAAAAAATAGGAAGAAAATGGAACGCATTATTATTGTAACGCATTTGGAACGCAATTGGAACGCAATTGGAACGCATTAAGGAACGCGTTCGGAACGCGTTTCATGTTAGCTTTTTTCTGAGCAGTACTGTATATATGGTAAACTAAGTTTATTCGTGAGCGTAAATCAATTATGATTTTTGGCACTGCACTCGATGTAGGTAAATTCTAGAGGTTGAAAAAGTCTTAATCTCGAGTGGAATTATACACACTTCAAATTCAAGCTAAGAACAGTTGATGCAAAAATGAGTTAACTATTAGCCCTCCGGCAGGAATCGAACCTACGCTTATGCGATGCCGGTTCTTTTAGTGAAATGCCAAAAATTGAATTTGAAGTGTGTATAATTCCACTCGAAATTCAGTAACACCCTTTCAATCTCTTAAGTTTATTCGTGTTTATTTCCGTAGTTTTTAGAGACTAACGCCTGTTTCTAAGACCTCACTCACACTCACTCCCACTGAGTGGACGCTCATCCTCAATGAGTACAACTCACTAATGAATTGGATCCATCAAAATTGGATCGTGTGAACAGACCTTTAGTCATGTTAGGCAAAGACTAGGCAAAGAGTGGAAAAATGCCTTTTCAATCGCTGTGAGCATTGAAAGATTAGATTTCGAAGTTAGCTTCTGCTTTTTCGCGTTCGCTTTGTTATTGTGTTATTTCACAATGTGTTCATCGTCCGGTAGTGATTTGTACGAGCCATTCGAACGATTTAGAGTGTCTAAATGACCTTTATTCGTGTTGTTTATTCGACGTTCGATCTTTGTGTTCCATCGAACAGCTGTTAGATAATATTTATGAAGGCGACACGCTCTACGGGAAAGCCTAAATTAACTCTAACATTCAAGCAAAACATTTAGATCATCAATTTTGCTGTTTAAAAAGTGCATCTAAAAATTTCGAGAAACGGTATTGACACACCTTAATAGAAATCTCAGACATACCTGTATTAGCGCATTCAACTCCGGCGTCTTTACTATGACGGCAATATTGAACTCCCCAACCTCTGTGATGACAACTTGTTATATTTTGTTCCTTCCCATTGCAATCGACGTAACCCAGCCATATTTGTCCTGAGCCTGAAGGAACCTGCCCAGCATAAAGTGCTCTGGCAGCATCTTTATAACCAAGTTGACGACATGCAACCTGAGCATCTCTTATATCCCATTCATAATCACAGATTGTTCCCCATTGTCCATTGTAGAAAACTTCAACACGACCAGTACCATTTGCACTTATTGGTCCTTGCAATCTCATCAGTACCGCTTCAAGAGGATACAAATCTGGTATTTAGTTAGTGCTTAGTGCTCCTGCGAGGGTACTAATTCTGCTCGGAGATTAGGAATTACACCCGGAACCCGGAGGTACATAGTACAAATTCTATGTCTTGGACTGTGGACGGTCGACGTTTTGTCAATAGCAAGGTTCAGATTTGATTTCCATTACCACTACCGCTACCTTTTGCTGACCTATTCAGCAGGTGATTGGTTAATCAGGTAGACTGGTCGCATCTGATTTGTTTATTTCCCATTTAAAGTCTCGGTAGTGGTAGTGGAAGTCAAATCTGAACCTCGCTAGTAATGCGCATGCGCGACATACGACTGGTAATGAACAACGTTCTGATTGGCCTAGACAGAAAGTTTGTATGTATTTCAATGAGAACGTCAACAATTTTGTATTTAAAAATTGGTTCGTAAACTTTGTGCAAAATAAAACGAGAAGAAACAAGGTAAAGGATGACTGATAACTAAGAAGAACAAGGATACAGTTCAAGAAAAAGTGGTGTAAGAAAAATAATTGATAATCTGCAAGCTTATTAGTGTTTTAAAAGGTACGTGTTTACTTTTTTATTCTGTATGCAAACAGGGCCTCATAAAAATGAAGTAAGCATCATCCGTTTTCCCGTTTCTTTAAGCAAAAAGCTTATGGACTTTAATAGCTTTTAAACGTCAAAGTTGTTTCTGTAATGTGTATTCAGCAATAAACATTTCCCTTTTTAGCTTTCAAACGCGCAATGCGTGACGGTAGTTGATTGTCACGGTCAATTTGAGCTGTGATTTCGCCATGTTCAGGAACGATTTAGGTTAAGAAAGAAGGAAAAAGAGTCGGCAAGGTTTTCTTACAAACAAAATCGGTCCTAAGCAGAGCGATATCGCAACTCAAATTCGCTTGATAATCAACTAACATCACGCATTTCCCGCTTGAAAGCTAAAAGGGGAAAGGTCTGTTGCTGTCGAAGCTTTCAAGTGATATTTGTTCTATGAAAATTTAAATTAACACTTTCAAATTTAAATCGATTCTGCAATAGCCTTTGATAGTCGGTTAAAGTTACCATAATTGGCAAAATGAGAGTTAAATTGTTCACGTTTTTCTTGAAATACAAACTTTTGCATGGTCTTAACCAAATAGCAAGTTTCTTATTGCTAGTCTTTTACGCGTCCGAAAAAGACTGGCAATAAGAAACTTGCTAATTGGTTAAGACCAAAAGACCAAAATGGCAACGACCATTTGAGCAACTTTGGATTCGTCTATGTATTGTTAACAAACACAAGTTTCATAAATCTGCCAGCAGAACTGGTAACTTCGCACAGAGCATCGCGCCGGGTTTGTGTTTAAACGCTCACAGATTTAATATTTGATTTACGGCGTCGCAAGATCCGCACAGACTAATTCTTTTTCACGTGCGCTGGCAGACTTTTCTTCTCTCCTCTCTCTCCCTATGCTAAGAGCCTGCTTGCCGGCAGAAGAAATGATTTTAGCCTAGCCAATGAAAAAGGCCTATTTTTTAAACAACGTTCAAATATCATTAATACCAGTAAACAGTGATTTCAAACGTTTGATTTTAAAGTACAGTACTGTCCAGAAATAACCCACACTGCGGTTGCGGTTCGGTTGCACTTCCGCCATTTCGACAGTTACAGTCGAAACGCATGATCTACATTATAACCAAGTTGATGACACACAACTTTAGCATCTTGCGTATCCCAACCATAATCACAGATTGTTCCCCAATATCCATGATATAACACCTCAACGCGACCAATACCCTTTGCGCTTAATGGTCCTTGTAACCGCAGTTGAAGTGGAGAAGTTGAAAGATCTAAAAAGCATGTATGTATGATGAAATAAGAAGTGCTAATCTAACACCGATCTAGGCGTTAATTTAGCACCATAAATTTGAGAGTTTATTCAGAAGAGCTACTTTAACACCCCTGACATTTAACACCTTTTAATATATCACTAAAATATTGGCATGACATAAACACTTTTACGCATTAAAATGGCGGATAACAAAGAAATGATATAGGTTGATACAGAAGCAGATTTAGGCAGAATATAAAAAAATCTTACTATCTTATCACTCTTTATATTAGCAGGAATTGTAAGCAGCAAGAAGCAAAAAGTCTATGGTTGAGAACGGTTAGGTTTTTGCTTGCTTAAGCCTAGTGTAGGAAAGGGTGTGACTTAGTCTTATATTTCATTGGTTCTCGCCTTTTTTATTATAAATAATTCGTATTTTCAATTTCTAGCTATTCTACGATTACCATTCACAAATTTGCCCTGCGGTCATATAGAGTGACAACTTATTTCCAAACTTAGAGATTCGATACTTCGCCTCAAATTTTTACGTGTTAAAAGAACTAAAAGATTCGCCTAATTTGACCGCAAATGTAGTGCTATTTTAGCACTTATTTCTTCGCATTTGTGTTACTATGACGCCAAAAAGTGGTGCTATTTTAGCACCTTTTTTGTTTAGCTCCTTTTTAGTCATAAATCGACATCATAAAATTAACGATGCTGCGAAGACTTTCCGCGATGCTCGTTAGCAAATATCCTTGCTCCCTGTCCAGGAAAATTGCCAACTTTTAGCAAAATTTTCCCCAAATCTATTGATACCTTCATACCTGTTGTAGAACATTCTACTCCGGCATCTTGAGAATGAGAGCAGGAATTAATCCCCCAACCATTATGATAACAGCTTGTAATCTTTTCTTCCTCTCCAGTACAATCGAGAGCAACTAGCCAAATATTTCCAGAACCAGAAGGAACCTCATTCCTCTGAAGAGTTCTTGCAACATCTTGATAACCAAGTTGACGACATGCGACTTTAGCATCTTTCATATCCCATCCATCATCACAGATTGTTCCCCAGTGTCCTTTGTGCAATACTTCCACTCGGCCAGCACTTCTACTTGATAGTCCTTGCCCTTGTAACCTTAGCGACCCAGACAGGAAACCTAAATTGACATTGCATCTCAAACGTTTGCATTCTAATGCCCAACATTTTTTAGCGATGTTTTAACGAAAAGGAGGGTGGTTCTTAACAAATGCATTATGTGAAAATCGTGCTGTAGGCGATTTTTCTTCACATTTGACGTGTCGTTGTTTTAAAAGTTTTCAGTGCAAACGTTTGTTCAGAAAAATTTCCCAAAACCTCGATTTGTTATTTTGAAAATTGGGCGGTGTAATGTAAAGTTCCCTCATGGAATTTTTCTTTCTTGGAATGGGTATATACATAAAAGTGAAAAACTCTATACTCATTGCAATACATAGGTGAGAGTATCGTATCTCAATCTCCATAATGATTTACCTTGACACTGATGTGGTACAAATTGAATTAAAAAAAGAATTGTGCCAGTTATGAAGGCGAAGCTTGTCATCTCGTGAACAGGTAACTGAAACGATAACTGAAATATGCCTCGGTTATTATACTTTGTTAACGCATGTTCAAAGTTGCGAGGCTTAATAGAATATCCACGCAGTGTTTATTAGTGTGCCATTTCACAAAACTATTTCCTGTTGATTATTTATATCAGTGATGCTCAATTTGAGATCGACAATATGGCGATTGTTTTCATTTTATCAATGAACTGAAGGAACTACATGAAATCTAATAAGATACAGCCCGATTTTAAACAAACACAAATATAAAAATTAATATACAGTAGTAAATAGTAATAAAAATCGAGCCACTTATCGATGCTGCTGGCGACGAGCCGACGACGCCACTTAATAATTCAAATACTTATAAAATGTTGTTGAATATTTAAATTTTGCATCATAGCAGTATAGCTAACGGAAAATAATGGCGATAAACTCACTATCCGATTGTTGTCCTTATTTTCAATATTTCATCCAAGATTTCGCCTTTGGCGTCGATCAGTAACTGCATGCATGTTCGACTCCCACATTATATTGTGCGGTCATGACAGAATTGTAACTAGGAGGTACGTCATAAATAATCATCCTCACATGCGATTAATCCTTAAATCTCAGGTATAACTAATATTGAGGAAAATTACTCGTCGCGACACAGCTATTCGCCTCATCAGTTTTAAGACAACAAAACTTTTCACTACAGTATAGGCATGCAGCATTGTTCATGCAAGCATAACCTGGTGGATCATAAATTACAAAGATAAATTTGATTTACATTCGCTATCAGCTCAGAAGTAGAAAAAAGATTGATTCATACTATATATGACTCATTTCTGTTTGTGCAAAGTAGAGGAAATTGAATCAGTGATGCATGTCATGCCACTTGTGATCAATATCAAATGAATAAAGCAATCTCTTTACTAGACGAATAATTAATAACCTTTCTGCTCGTTGCACGCGCGAGAAACGGCAAATGTCTTCAACGTCAGATCAGTGTCGGATCTAGGTTTAGTCAAAATAGATTAGTACAGTTTAAAATCGTAATCACATTGGTAGATTTCAATCTAAAAATATTCTTTTGACATCTATAACCAATAACGTGGTTACTAGAGTATTTTGAATCATATAAAAAAATTTAGCTGTGTAATTTATTGTCACCGCTACACTTAAATCCGCAACTGCATCAGATGTGGGTCATAAAGCGTCTATCTTCTTTATTCACGTCGCTCTTTTAAGAAGCTTAAAATGTCATGTGAATGTGTTCCTCAATGCAACGAAGTTCATCAATTTCGGATAGAAATATATGCCAGTCTTGGGATGATAAACGCGTGACGTATGAAACGTGTAGGTGTATAATTTCTAGGAAAATTTTAAAACTCATCCCCGTTTAGCACAATATAAATTTATCTTTACTGTTTATTTACAATAAAATTTATCTAAGTTAAAGCTGATAAATCTAACAAATTAAAATAATTAAATGAATTTGAACTGTAAGGTCTAATAGTGGCACTATAAGCGCACTACAATAAATCACTTCCTGTATCATTTTGCCGAACTGTATCGCATTTTTATAAAAGTTAGTACATATTACGTACTTTTATTCTTCGGCACCTTTTATTCTGCAGCACCTTTTATTCTTCAGCACCTTGATTTAAACGATATCGAATGCCAAAACGTCCCAAAATCTTTAAAGATCTGGATCATCACATGATACGCAGATCCATGCAATTAAGCATCAATTTTGACATACGTCTTTGAATTTGAAAAGCTTACGAATACGGCTTAAGAATACGGCTGGATAATTGTTACCTCGCTGTTGTTATGATAATGTACCCCAGCATTCCACAAGTCTATTTCTGCATTCGTTGCATGTATTTTTAGCAAACGTTATAACATTAAAAATATTATAAAGTGCAAACGTATCGTTACTTATCGTGGCAGGGAAAGCCTATGTGCATGTGTCTGGGGTAGCATTGACCTAATTTATACCTACTGGTAGCATTGGTCTACTTTGTAATTCCGTACGATAAACATGTATGCTACAAAATTAATGTAAAGAAATGGTAACTTTTTATTCCGCTATGAAATTTTGAGCACTAATTAGTACGTGGTGTGTTTCGAAAAATAAACAGTTTTGCAGCACACTTTGCGTAATCCCCATGGCTTTCATTTCATTTAAAATATAAAAATAAACCGGTTATTTGTGCGAAATTGGCTTGCTTATTTTTACCGTTTTATAACCTTTGTTCTTGCGGATATTGTTCCAATAGGGAAGTTATTATTGTTCTGCCCAACTAATATAATTAAACACCCGCAAGTATCACAAGGAACGTGTACAACAAAAGATACTTTATGGCACTCCTTGTATTAACATTTATTTATTCAGATCATCCATGCGGGCGAAGTTTGGCAAGCAAAAGATAGCGGGCAAACCGACATAAGCAGGCAGACGGGAAATTCTGTCAACACAAAATATGCTGCGAACCGAAATAACCTGTGTCTAGCCCCCTAAGTGTGTCACTTTCAGGATAACCATTTGTTATTGTCAGGTGATTTTGCAAACATTTTTTTAATTGCTTCATTAAGGCTGTCAAAGTTGTTATCGAAGGCCTGTCGTAACAATCTTCGGAATTTGTGCGTTAATGAACGAATTTACACGGCATATAACAATAACGACACTTAACATAAACTGAGAGGTTTGGTATTTTCCCAGTCAATGCATGTTACCCAAACGGCTGTCTTTGATGTCAGCTATTATTCTAAGATCAGTTTAAAACGTTCGCAATCAGGACGAACTCTATGCAAGCACTATTTAAACAGGCTGCTTAAGTGGATATTGGTGTCTTAAGTGACTACTATAATAAGTGTCTTAAGTGACTATACAGGGTGTATCAGAAAAAACTAGAAGATTTTAAAATGTTCAAAAAACTATCATTTTATCAAGATATCTCAAAAATATATTTACGTCTAAGTATTTTAGTATCTTCTGGCTTATCTAACAGTAAAAACTAGCAGAAAAATTAACATCGAAAAGCGGGAGAACGGTTTGTAAAAGCCTCATTTTTAACCGCTTGTGCAAAGAAAATGAGACGTTGAAAATCCAAGTTCAGTTAAAGAGGTGAAAGTTTGTGCAATGTATCGCAATTTCAAAAAATTTGATAAACATTAGGTCCGCCGCGAAACGTTTCAAAATTGGATTTTTTCCCCCGTTTACTCTGCTCTCTCGTAACTTTTTACATGCAAGAATGATTACATGCATGAGTGATAGTTTGAATGACGTACTTAAACATAACTAACAATGAATACTCTTGTTTTCATTTAACAAAGAGTGCTGGTAATTACGTCATTCCAACTATCACTCATGCATGTAATCATTCTTGCGTGTAAAAAGTTACGAGAGAGCGGAGTAAACGGGGAAAAAAATCCAATTTTGAAACGTTTCGCGGCGGACCTAATGTTTATCAAATTTTTTGAAATTGCAATACATTGCACAAAAGATTCCAAACTTTCACCTCTTTAACTGAACTTGGATTTTCAACGTTTCATTTTCTTTGCACAAGCGGTTAAAAATGAGGCTTTTACAAACCTTTCTTTCGCTTTTTGAGGTTAATTTTTCTTCTAGTTTTTACTGCTAGATAAGCCAGAAGATGCTAAAATACTTAGACGTAAATATATTTTTGAGATATCTTGATAAAATGATAGTTTTCTGAACATTTTAAAATCTTCTAGTTTTTTCTGATACACCGTGTATAACCTATGTAAAACACGCATTCATTTCTAATAAAACAATATGGAAAAATTATGCGACTTCCAGAGTAATGATAGCAGTTAGAGTTCCGTTGACTGCCAATATTGTAATCGATTGATATATTGATTGCGCTGTATATAATTTATCAGTTTAATATTTTTGTTTGTTTATATTAACAATGGGCTAGCATGACATGAATTTTCTAATACCCTGCATATCAAATTAAATCGTCCGCCATTATGCAATATGGAACCACAACATGAACGGTCGTCTACGTTATGCGCATGCGCCAGTGTGAATTCCCAGGATCTTGATTTCGCGAGAAAAAATTGTATTTTGAAACCAGGATTTCCACAATGCATGGGAATTTCCTTGCAATTGGCAACCACAAGGGAGGGAGGGATCTGTTTTAATATAATATTTGATGCATTCTTTTCAAAAGTTCTTTGTTTCTCTCTTTTGTCATTGCCATCCCCCTAAGAGGACAGTCGTATGCAAATAAGTTGTGGAAACCCAGTTTGAAACGTCAACGCATAACTGTAATTTCGGAAAATTTTGATTAAATTTATAAATTTATATTATGAATTTATATTTAAAATATTGAATATATATATTCCCAACTACATTAGAGGGAAACGCGAATGTCAGGACTTTTTTTAACAAATAAAAAGACCAAATTTTCGAATAATTCAGCGTGTATAATTAAATCTGAAGATATCACTCTTGCTAATATTTCACCCGGCACAGCTTTAAAAAGTCATTCTTTTGTGGAAAACACAACTTTAATATTCTCAAAAGCATTTCACTACAAATCTGAATGTGTGATGTGGTAGGAAAACTCCAATCGACAATTTTGTCCCGTTCCTGCCGTAACTTGAAAAATCTGTTTGCGTGAATATCGCATAATAATCCGAGATCAAAATTTTCAATAACTGATCATTGTGTTTTAAACCTCTTAATTTCTCTTGATTGGCTGTGGTAATACTATAAGTTTGTTCCTGAGTAATCAAAGATTGCCTAAAATTCTAAATCAATTTTTTATAATTTGCTTATTTTTTTATTATCTTAATTACTCGTTGTATATAACATACAAATGGTCATTCATTTTGAATCTTCCCACCCACAACTTTCGTATCTTTTGTTACCGTTTTATTTACGACTGACAGGTTTTCAAACTTTGCGAGTTCTTAAACGATATTTTTTCTTTTAAAATGGACGTTCATTCTAAACAATTTAATAGTTGTAAATAAAATAACACTGTATTGGCCTTTTTTTCTTCTCTGTGAAAATTTAACTAATGCAGGTTTTTTGTCAAGAAACGCGTAGGCATGGCCCATGTTGTCGTCCGCAAGAATTTCCGGAAAAATACATTACCCAGCATTTGTTCTCATGGCTTCAGTTTAATTTCCGCGCAGTTTTCAAATAACTAAAATTTTCCACTGATATATATATATATATATATATATATATATATATATATATATAATTATATATATATATTGCAGAAAAATACATGTTTGATACTGCTTGTTATGGATAACTGCACTGAGATTTACGAATCATAGTCGAGAAATTCTTAAACTATTATCCTATTAAAAAAAGGATTACAGTGCGTATATTATAAAGTTAAAAGATATAATAATACATCTTTGTATTTCAGTTTACAGATTATATTTATAATTAACAATATATCCACAGTATATTGATTTTTACCTCATCGCTAATCAAAGTGCTTGGCAATTTGCTGCGATCTTTCCTCCACCATGGCGAAATTTATACTACCCATTTTGGAATTTTAATATACGAGTTATATATAAAAACAGCAGATACGGACACCAAAATCACATAAATTACAGGCTATATGCTAAATTATGTTTGCATCCTTACGTAATGTTATTTTGCACCCCTTATCTTTATTAAATGTATCATTTTTTAATATGTGCTGAAATTTATGTAATAAACAAGTTTACTTAAAAAAATGATATACGCGTGCAGTTCTGTGAATTCGTACCGTGAATTCTATCGTATTACTGTGACTAATTATTTAGAGTTTGATAAGTGTTGTCTGGATCTCTCGCCTTATCTAAATCAGCATAAGTCGAGTAACCATCGTTTACGGCGCCTTTTGGTGACTGGTAGCGGTTTTGCGCCAAATTTTTAAGATTAACCTCTTCGTAAATTGGGTCTGGATTTGTATCTTGAACATCGGCACTTGATGCAGCTTTTCCTAACCATCGCCGACGATAATACACAACAGCATATGCAACACAAAGTACAACAATAATTACAGCCACGACGATGATGAAAGAAATATACCATTTAGTGCCGTCCTTCGACCCTTTGGAGTGTGATTTTTCTGAATATAAAATTTGCATTAGTTTTTTAAAAAAAAAAAAACATTAGGGTAGAGCTTAAGGAATTTTGCAATATATACACTTCCATTAATTTTACAAAAAGAATTAATATCTGAAATTAACCTTTTTTACAATGATGCATATTTTGGTTTTCATTCTGTGCCTGGTTCGTTGTCCACTAATTGCTGTCTTGCAGCCAGTTTACTGGTCGGTTTTAGTTTGTATGTTAAATCTATCTGTATCAAAGGACGATAATTCTGCATTCAACAGCAACTAAGTCAGTGGTTAAGTTTTGGTCGAAGGTTCGCCAATTGCATGCAGAGCTAAAAGCTGGAAGGCATTATATTCATATAAATATTCCGATAGATTTATTTACAACTATAGCTTAAGAACAAAAAAGGCAGGGCTCTATGAAATATACCGGGTGTCCCAAAAAAAACTTTACCTCTTTGTCTTAATATAACTCAAAAACGAATAAAAGTCATTAAATTGAAATAAACTCCACTGCATGCAAGCAGGGCTAACTTAGATTTTGATATATAACACTAAATTATTGATGCGATATTTACGGAGATACAAGCATTTGATGTCGCAAGGTACTTTCAAAATCTGTGCAAAATTGACAAAAATCGGTTATTAAATTAATTCGAAACTAATACTTTAACTTTTACGTTTTTAACTTTAGTGATTTTAACTTTAAATGTACGCTTTTCCATTGCAAACTTACTCTTATATAAGAGCGAACAATTAAAGTTAAAATCGCTGAAGTTAAAAACTTACCACGGGAAGTGGCATGCAAGTATTTTCGAATTAATTTAATAGCCGATTTTTGTCAATTTTTCACGGATTTTGAAAGTACCTTGCGACATCAAATGCTTGTATCTCCGTAAATATCACATCAATAATTTAATGTTATATATCAAAATCTAAGTTAGCCCTGCTTGTATACAGTGGAGTTTATTTCAACTCAATAGCTTTTATCGTTTTTGAGTTATATTAAAACAAACAGGTAAAGTTTTTTTTGGGACACCCGGTAGTTTGTGTCATTAGTTGATAATGAATTTCAAAAGAAATTTAAAAGATTGAAAACAATGAAAATTGACATTTAATACCAATATTTAATTGATTAAAAGACTGCCAATCAACATTAATTTTAATATCCTTGGGAAGTTTATTAGTGATCAGTGCTTACACTTATTCAAATCTGCTCACACATTCATTAAGGGCCGGTTGTAAAAAGCGCTAAAACTACGGATTTTGAGCTGTAAGTTTATATTTCGCGGTATAAGTTTAAGTCAGTTTATGCCGTGAGACGGGCAATTTAAAGTTATAAAAAAGGCGAACCATACTTTCTATGTATTGCAACCAATAATTCAGTGCCAACTTTTTCTTACCACTAAAAAGGACTTCAATTGAATTTCTGCCTGCCAGAGAGTCACTTTTCCCTACGCATACGTATGTTCCACCATTTGTTGTATTAATATTCTTGAGAGTCAAAACATTCTCTTTCTTTTTCGTGTCACCAATCTGTGTGTCATTTTTATACCACGTCACATCGGCTGGCGGGTATCCGTTTTTTCCCTCACAAAGACATGTTACACTATCACCGATATTAACAATGATCAGACTGGAACAATTGATTGTTACATTTGGTTTTTCTGAAATATATAAGTATATGTATCATGCGGCTATGCAAGGTTCAGAAACAGAAAAAATGAATTACAAGTACTTCTATAACGCCTAGCTGTAATAAAAAAACATTCACCCTCGTAGTCATTCAGTTTGGCATAGCAATTCTGCTATTACTGGTCGATGATGAATGATATGGTCTTTCTTTAATCAAGAGTAAAGTTTATGATAAATCAAGCTCGCTTCAGTAGAAGTACTGCAATGCAAAATTATTTTGTGTATTTTTATTCGTAATTTTACTTTAAATTATATTTACCGTAAAAATCGATCTCAATTGACTTTTCATCCGTGAAAGTGTGGATTTTCCCAATACATTTGTATGTTCCACTATCTGTTTCAACAACATTACTGAGAGTCAACATGTTTTGTTTCTGTTCTGTGTCACCAAACTGGACGCCATCTTTATACCATGTCACATCGACTGGAGGTTTTCCACCTTTTCCTTCACACAAGCATGTTATATCATCACCAAGATTTACTGCGATTAAACTGGAACAATTGACTGTTATATTTGGTCTCTCTGAAATGTATTTTTACATATTTTTACAATCGAAGAAACGCCGGGGTAACGTCAGGTCCATGCGAAAAATCTCAAGAATATAATACATTACCCTTAATTAGGACTGAGTGATGATATGCCTAAAAAATCCGACCCTTTGGAAAACAGGGCACTGTTGCTGAAAAGCTACCGCGTGCATAAATATGTTAAAATAAAGATAATGAACAATTATTTGCCTACGTTTAGGATCCCGTCTTGCTTAGATTAAACTGGGCGTGAAACGGCTTTTGGTTTAGTGAAATGAAAATAGAAAACATTACCAAAGCATTGATGTAGTCTTGTTGACAATAGCATGTGTATCTTTGGTTTTATATAAGTATACTTATTTCAGAACCTCAAAACCATGAAATCGAGGGATAACGTTCATGGTGTCGTTGCATTTATTGTTGCATCATTAATAAAGTGGTGTATACGGACGGATCTCTTTTCGAATCGCATCAAAAGAATCTATGAGCAGCACTATACATGAATAACATACGCCTAATTATTGCCTTAGTTAACGCCCCCTATTTAAATAATCACCTGAACATTCTACTCCAGCGTCATAATCATGAGAGCACGAGCTATAGAGGACACCATAACCATTATGTGAACAACTTTTAATATTTTCTTCTTTCCCAGTGCAATGAAGGTTGTTTAACCAAATTGGTCCAGAACCAGGAATAACCTCGCTCCTCTGAAGAGTCCTAACAGCGTTGGGGTAACCAAGTTGACGACAGACAACCCTGGCATCTCGTAAATCCCATCCATACAAACAGATTGTTCCCCATTTCCCCTTGTAATATACCTCAACACGACCAGTACCATCATCTTTCAGTGGTCCTTGCAGCCTGAGTGACACATTTATAGCTGTAAATAGTTGTGTATATAAAAGAGTAAATATATAATAGTGTGTTTATATGCCATTTAATAACTTAATAATTTTGAACCAGTAAAACAAAATATATACTATTTTATACACTACCACTGGATACAACTATATATAATGCTACTTGTGGGCATTATTGTTGTTATTGGTATCACTAATTAAAAGACTGATTTAGAACTCAGGGGCCAATTGTTCGAAAGATGGATAAAATAATCCACTGGGTAGTGACTTTTTCAACCGTCGTAAAAAACCTTGAAAACCGATAGAGCTACTTATATAATAAATTTATAATCGTTTTAAAGTATTTTAACTTATTTTAACTCAAAATTATGTGAAGTGGCCATGCCAAGTGGCGAGGATGTTATTAATGTTTGAAATAATCACACTTTATCTACCTTTCGAACAACCGGCCTCAGGTAGATTTAATATTCATGCATGCAGTTACTGGTCTTTTTATAAGTATCGCAGTATTTGACTTTATAATGTAACAGATGCGAAGTCGAACGTAACCAAATTTGGTATAAATAAATTACAATATAAATGTTTCTCTTTGGTCATACGTTCAGGGTAGAAATTCGACTAAAACGTACTTTTATAAAGCTAGGTACAATCTTAATTTTAATTAAATATAAGTTATGATTTATAATAACACATTACACTTTTTGCCCGTCGTTAAACGAAAAAGAATGACATTAATGTAATTTAATATTCGAAAATACAAGTTGGAACCTCATTAACACATTATGTGCAAGTCAATAAGTGTAAAAGGATGTTCAATATCAACAATTTAGGCAGTCATGCGGAAAACTGAAAGTCATCAATCAAAGATGGAAATTCACTAAGAGTATACAAAGTACAGACATAGAAACAAAAGAGTTTTTCGTTTGAATACAACAAAATTAATGTTCAATTAGAGAGAATGTAATTTCAATGCCAGCCTTGTTTTATTGATAATTAAGTATTAATGGCTGGCAGTGTCAAAATGCAATCTTCTTCTACAATTCATTGAATACATCTTTTCATTTCTTCATCAACTCAAACATTGCGGCGCCCTCCACGTGGTTGTTCTTCAAGTCGTCCTTCGCACAGATATCGAGCGATTATACTCCTGGCAGTTGATCGTTTATAGCTAAGGTATCAGCAAAAGCCAGGAAATCTTGATCTTGTTCCTCGAATGCTCTAATCAACCGTTCTTTCTCCACTTGTGATACGCTTTGACGTTGTGCCATTTTAACAGTAGGCACTGAAGATCAGCATACACCAACCAAAGATAGTGTTTAGCAATTCATTTTTATAGAAGAAACACAATGGAAACGAATAACGAGCAATTTTATGGATTATTTCGCGGCAACCGCGTTCCTATGAGCAAGTGGTAAATACCGACCTTATTGAAATTACATTATTCTCTAAGTGAACGTTTGTTGTATATAAACGAAAAAATATTTTGTGCCTTCACTTAAAAAATCTTTAACTATTCTTGCATTCTTAAGGAATTTCCATCTTTGATTAACGAGTCTCAGTTTTATGCACGAATGCCTAAATTGTTGATATTGAACATCCTTTTACGCAGATTAAGCTGCGCAAATGTGTTTTTAAAATTCCAACTTGTATTTTCGAAGATTTTTATGGAAAGTTAATCGAGGGGGGCCATATTCATATATTCTGCAGTGCCCGGCTAAATGCTTAATTATTTTGAAAACAACTTCACTTTCAATAGAAATCAGCCAGGCATAATATATATGAATATGCCTCCCCCCCCCAATTAACGTTCAAATGACGCTAATGGATTTTAAAATTACATTAGTGTAATTCATATTTCTTTTAACAACTCGCAAAACGTGTTTTATGTGCATTAAGATTCGAAGGAAGGCACATATTTTATGACTATGAAACCTTTCGACTGCAAGCAAATGAAATTATTTCTTTTTCGAAATGTTACTCTTTCTAATGGTCATTCACAGTGTCAGATGGATTCATTTATCGTACTATCCTACATTACCTGCTCTAGAGCATTCTACTCCAGCGTCCCTAGAATGAGAGCAAGATTGAGCTTTCCCCCAACCACTGTGGAAACAACTTGTAATATTTTGTTCTTTCCCAGTGCAACCAACATTGGTTAGCCATATTTTTCCTGAGCCAGGAGGAACCAAGTTTCTTTCAAGAGTTCCAAAAGCATCAGGATATCCAAGTTGACGACATACCACGTTCGCATCTTTAGAATCCCATCCGGAATCACAAATTGTTCCCCATTGTCCATTGTACAATACTTCAATACGACCGGTACCTTCTTTACTTGATGGTCCTTGCAACCTGATTGGCGCGGTTATAGCTAAAAAAGACGAAATCGGCTGACCACATAACAAGAAACATAAGGGGGACTGATAACATAACTATTGACTGCAACCAAACTTCGTGGATTTTTAAGATGTTAGAGGCGATCGAACCATATTTATATATTCTGCTAATTTCTTTTGACTTTTAATTTCGCTTTCAATTTCACTTTTAATAGAAATCTGAGTATATAATATAGGTCCAGAATGTATGAATATAATAATCCTTCTCAATTCACTTTCGATTAAGGCCAATGAAACTTGGCATACAATGCTTTAATTGCCTTATTAAGTATTCAGTTAATTGCCTTATTAAGTATTCAGTTAATTGCCGATATCGGAGGTAAATCGTTCTAAACTATTTTATTGTTCAGTAGAAAAGTGCATTGATTTCATTTATTAATTATATTGCCAAAAAATTGAAAGTTGTTTATCTATTGCGCATGCATATATTTTTAATTTATAATATCAGATCTTAGAAGACTCGAACTCGCAGAATAACTGTTAAATACAATAGCTTTATGACCTTTACATATGATGGAAATTTGTTTCAACCTTATGGAAAAATGCTCTCCAACCTTCAACCGACAACAAATTGGAGAGCCCGAGGTATACTGCATAAATGTCTAAGTACGGACCTTTTGTAGAACATTGAACACCGGCGTCGTCATGATGGTTGCATAGGTTAACTCCCCAAGAACTATGAGAACAATTTATTATATTGTGCTCTTCCCCAGTACAATAGACATTTGCTAACCACACTTGTCCAGAACCTGGAGGAACTTCGTTTCTTTGAAGAGTTCTGACGGCATCCTGATAACCAAGTTGATGGCACACAACCCTGGCATCTCTCAAATCCCATGAATAATCACAGATTGTACCCCAATATCCATGATAGGACACCTCAACACGACCTGTTCCTTTTTCACTTGATGGTCCACGTAACCTTAGCGACACAGGCGTAGTTGAAAAATCTATAAGGACATGTATGTTGCGCAATGTAACAGAAAGTAACTTAAAATTAAGATAAAAACAGGACAACAAAGTAATCGATTATATTAAATGAAACGACGAATTGAGTAGCTGCAAAGCTTTGAAAGAATATCAGCGTAAATGAGATTGGATAATGATGGTATAGTTATAAAAATATAGCATGATATCATGTGACAAAAAACTGTCCTTAAGGGGCTGTTACACTATGCAATTTTCTCTGCCACGTGCGAAGCAATTACAATTTTGAGGTATTTTTATTAGCGAGAACGTTGGAAATGCTAAGAAAACGTTAGCAAGTCGTACGAAATGTTCGTATTTGTCAACTTTTGATGTCTTTAAGAGTAGAATTTGATTGCAAATTGCAAGGAAATTAAATAGCATTACTTTTTTGTTGTTTTTGGGTGTAAAAAACAATAAATGAATAAATAATAAATGATAATAAATAAATAAATAAATAATGAATAAATTATAAATAAATTATGAATAAATAATGAATGTTTTTATTCGTGAAATGGAAGGAATTTTTTCAATATAAGCTCGCTTCGTTGAATGAAACATTCCGTTTTTCAACTCATGAAAATATTCATAACAATGCATTCATAAACATTATTATTAACATGTAATTGCAGAAGAAAATTGACTATTGAAGATATTATTAACCAGAAACATTTTAAATCAAAGATTTTAGTAAAAACATTGTGAAAATTTATAATCAATCTAATAATTCATCAAAATATCGATTTATTCGATCTTTTACCTGTTTTACTACA